CCCCCCCACCTCCCAGCCCAATTATGATTGAAGGGGAAAGCCATTTTGAAGTAAAAGAGATATTGGACACTAGAAAACAGGGGTAAACTTCAATTCTTAGTGCAATGGAAACATTTTCCTAAGTCATATTATGAGTGGGTAGATGAAAAGCATGTTAAAGCACCTAAACTTGTAAAAGATTTTTATACAAAATATCCTCAGAAGCCTAAATGAATGTATACAATTTACAAATAGCTATATTGTACTTCTGTTTTTCTTTACTTTTGCAGATCATATTCTCAATGTGAAGATATTTTTCTTTTTGGAGGGCGACATGTCAGGATCCTCGCAATCAATCATCAATTGGATCCAGCTAGTAGAGTTATTAGAGCTATTAACCTAGTTAAAATGATTGCTTATTCCGGCCATAAAGTAGAAGTGTTATTTTATTAGAATTGTTAGTTTATACAAGCTGCTTGCTCGTTCCTGCCACAAAACAATGGAGGGGGGGGGAGAGAGTTAGGTAGGCAGCGGAGACAGATGGGATGTTATCAAGTTCTCAGGAATTCGCAAGGTCAAGCAAGCATGAGACCAAGAAGAGATCCAAGGGACGGCGTGAAAGGGGTGGAACTTGTAAGTGGAGAGGGGGGTTAAAAGGAAACCACTGAGCGCAGGGTTTTCAGTTTCAGCAATCTATGGAACTCTGTATGCTTCTTCTCAATAAAGAAATATTTACTGGAATGAATCGGTCTCCAGAGGATTTACTGGGATTGGGAATTGAGCCTTGCAGACTCTGACAAAAGCAGAGAGAGATTCCTGGTCATTATTAATAAATGCTTCTCTGTATAAAGACTCCAAAAGCTTTTGGAAATTAATTTCCAGGGCTTTTACTGTTCCCTCTGTTCCAGATTGTTGTATACCATCCAAAACCTGGGAAAAATACTTTAAATCAATGTTTATGGAGCAGGAGCAACCTGCCACAAATATATAATACTGCTCTACGCCGCACTGGTGAGGCCACATTTGGGATACTGTGTCCAGTTCTGGTCACCACAATACAAAAAGGATGCTGAGACCCTAGAAAGAGTGCAGAGAAGAGCAACAAAGATGATAAGGGGTCTGGAGGCTAAATCCTATGAAGGACGGCTAAAGGAACTAGGTAA